AAAAACAACAAAAACAACAACAACAAAAACAACAACAACACCAAAAACCATCGTTCATTCATTCATCTGCTTGTCTTTTTTTAAATATTCGTAGGAACTAAAAAATAACATTATTAGCAACAAACATCGCTAGCATCAACTATTACGACTACTACTACTACTACTACTACTACTACTACTACTACTACTACTACTACTACTACTACTACTACTACTACTAAGTCTGCTGCTGCTGCTGTTACAGCAAACAAAACTACAACAACAATAATAAAAAAAATAACAATGATAATCAGAGGAAAATAAAACCATAAATAATATAACACGCCTTCAAGCATAACAAGGGATTTGTCACCATACATTTTAGATCACACTCTACTACCACCACCACCACCACTACTACTACTACTAATACTACTACTACTACTACAACTACAACTACTACTACTACTACTACTACTACTACTACTACTACTACTACTATTACTACTACTATTACTGCAGCAGTTTTTGTTGCTTGTGGTTGCTGCTGCTACTTCTATTACTACTGCCACCTCAAGCCGAAAAAAACGCCTCAATTAAATTTTTTAGATGTACAAAAAGCCCACGCAAATACATGGAGAAATCCACCCACGCATATTATAATCTACACGCACGCATACACACGCGAACACACACGCGCATATGAAAATCGGAAAGTTAGATTGTTTTTCATTTATTAGTATTTGTCACATATTTAACGATATGGATTGGTATAATATGGTTTAATTAAACTTAACACCAAATGAAAACATGCTGTTCGAATACAAAATTGAGTAAACAAAAAAACGAACGAACGAACGAACGCATGAACGAACAAATGGAAGAACAAACTAACTAACCATCTAAATCCACTTCATCGATAATTTTGAGTAATTCAGTTTCAGTTGGGTTTTCCCCAAGCAATCTCATCACTTCACCCAGCTCTTTCGATGTTATTGTGCCATCATTGTCCTTGTCAAAGGCCGCAAATGCTTCCTGGTATTCTGTATGTGTGTGATTGTGTGTGTTTGTTTGTGTGTATGAGGCCGCTATTTGTGATAAAGATGATCATAAGAATGATGAATATGTA